CTGTTAGCGGGTATTTTATCATGTTGGGTACGTCTCCAGTATCATGGAAAACGAAGAAACAAACTACTGTCTCTAGGTCGTCTGCAGAGGCAGAGTACAGGGCTATGGCTAATGCTTGTGTAGAGATACGTTGGATGCGAGGGATTCTTATTGCTTTGGGCGTGCCTATATTGTATCCTCCTAGATTGTATTGTGACAATCAGTCCGCGTTGTACATTGCAGCAAATCCTGTTTTTCATGAGCGTATGAAGCATGTGGATGTAGATTGTCACACTGTTCGAGAGAGTGTCCAGCGGCATGAAGTCTCGACACGATATGTCCCGACGAGATATCAGTTAGCCAACATTTTTACCAAACCTCTAGCGAAACCCAGTTTTGATTTTCTGCTGTGCAAGTTGGACATTCTGGATCTTCATGCGCCAACTTGAGGGGGAGTGTTAGCGGGTATTTGTAGTTTTGGACTGTAATTAGTTTATCGGGCCCACTTCCAACTTATAACCCTAAGCCCGCTTGTACTTGTATATATACACTTGCTTGTGATTAATAAAATCAGATCAGTTTTACTCTAAATTTTTACACAAGTCTCAATATTACTATATATACATACTCCCTACATTCTTATTAATATTCTATTTAGCTTTACGTTTCAAATTGAATGTTTGACAAAAAATATTTATTGAATTAATTAAAAATAAAAATTACTCCGTACAATATAATGCTTAGTATAAAAAATATTTAATACATCACTTACATAATTTTTTAAAATAAGTTTTAAAGAATATTGTTGATCAAATATTTAAATTATAAAATGAATAAATAAGTAAGAAAAAATAGAGAGTAAAACTAATGAATGAAGATAATGATGAATGAAATGGAACAAACCTGGATAGTCATGGAAAAAAGTGTCCAAAATACTGGGTCCTTTCCCGCTTTTGTTGTGAGCGCCTTCGATCTGTTCCATGTATTCATTATACAATTAATGTTTTAATTTTTTTATTTTACTCGTTATTATAGAAATTTAAACTTTTGAAAACGTATCATCTCCTCCAAACAAGTGGATCCCCCACTGTTTTTGAATATATAATTTGCACTCCGTATTATATACGTAGGTATCATATTTTACAAAAAATAGAAAATCATTATATAATTCATTTTTTAAAAAAAACTAAAATCTCAAGTTTTTAAAAATCATTTAAGGAGGGAAAAGGAGTATATTATACTCCGTACTTGATAAGCAGAAGAGGCAGCTCCAAAAATGAAGTGAGGTGGAAAATGATGAGCATCAATTGCAATCGGTGCAAACGGCGACGCGTCGGCGGCGGCGGCGGCCACCACGTGATTATTATTAGACGATGGCGGCGGCAATGATTCAGCTGCGGACGACGACGAGCCATGCATCACCAAGCCTACCCATAACAATAGCAATAATTCTTTTACTATTATTTTCATTATTATTACTATATATGGATTAAATATATATTTTGTGGTTTTCTCACACTTAGCTTCTTCTCTATGTTTGTTTTGATCTTATATCACCATACACTACGCGCACACACATATATATACACACCCACACACAATACAAGTACCACGTGCGTGATCTCCATCCCCCCTTTTTTTTACACCTACCCCTCAAATCTTTGCTCACATTTTTCTTCTTTGTGCCGCATGGGTAGCTCAATTGATTTAAAGAGAGAATGTCAAACCTATTAATCCTAGGGTCGAACTCCGGCAGTGACAGTGTGGAAATTCTATTTTTTTGTAATAGCTATTTGAGCACACCAGGCACGAGATCAGACGACCTCATGATACAAGATTTATTATTATTATTATTATTATTATTATTATTATTATTATTATTATTATTATTATTATTATTATTATTATTATTATTATATTAGGTAGTATCATTATTTATGGTTAGTTAATTATATTATTATTAGAAAGTAATATTATATTGTTAGGATATTTGTTACCATTTATAATTAGGATTCCTAGAATATTTAATTTCCTTCTATGGTAAGGATTCTTTATTCCTTCAATGAATAAAGAAAATACTTTCTCCTAAACCTTAATCTCTCTCTTTCTCACCTCTTTTGTTCTTGGAGCTCGAAGGTGCTCGAAATCCTTCCCTATCGCGATACGATACCGTATCACCTCACTAAGGATCGGACCAGATTAAAATTATACTCTTTCTGTTCCACAAAACCCTTCCTCTTTCGTTTTTTTGCTTTCCACAAAACACTTCCATTTTCTATTAAAAAACTACTTTTACCCCTACTTTTTCATACCCTACCTATGACATCATACTTTTTCACTAATAACCAAACTATCATATCTTACTTTTTCCCATCACATCAGGAGCAAAATTGGAAAATCAACCAAAATTACACTTTTCTTATTTTTCTCCAAAGTCAAAACCGGAAGGGTTTTGTGGAACGGAGGGAGTACCATGCACGATTTGGTCCCTCACAATCCTGTCGGACAGGAGTAGTGGATGCCCACCCGAGGAGGGCGTTCCATCTTCGCTCTCACTTTTCTAATTTTAATTTTTGTGGTTAACGTTTTTAAACTTTTATCGTATATTATAGAAAAAATATATTGAATTGTGATATAAAGTTAGTGTCATTATATTTATTTTGAAACCTAACATAACTTTAAAATGCCATATTTCTATAATGTACTCCGTAAGAGTATAATGTACTCCGTATGAGTCAAAATGCCATATGTGTTAAGAGTATCTCATAGATGCATACATACATACATACACACATATATAAATTATACTCCCTCCGTCCCGCTATATTCGTCCACTTTTGACTTTTGGAACTGTTCATCTAAGCACTTTGACTCATCAAATTCTCTCAATGTGTAAGCCTAAATATAGTCATGTGTGATCTTGTTTGATTTGTCTTAACATATACTCCCTCCGTCCCAAAAAGATTTACACCTTTCAAAAAAATTGTGTCCCACAATCTCCTACCCATTTCTATTAAAAAACCACTTTTACCCCTTATTTTTTCAAACCTTACCTATCACATCATACCTTTTTCTTAATAATCTACACATCACATCCTACTTTTACCCATCACATCAAGGGTATTTTTGGAAAGTCAACACAAAATTATCCCTCCCTTAATTTCTACTTTAGTCAAAATGGGTAACACTTTATGGGACGGAGGGAGTAGATTATTAATATATAAGTTCTATAATTTTTTAATATACAAATTACAAGATAAAATGGATTAAAGAAGTGTATTGGATGATGTGCAAAAATGAAAGTTGACAAATACTCTGGGATGGAGGTAGTACATCATTTTTGTTTCTATTACTTTCCAACAACAAAAAGTTATTAAAATATTAAAACATGTACATAAATATTAAAACTAAAACCTTTTTTTTAAAAAAGATATATTTCATAGTTTAAAAAATATTTATATAACAAATATTAGATCGTTATTAGAAAATTAAACTAAATAAAACTATATTTACAAATTGTCAGGGGTTGGAGGTTAGCGTTAGCGTTTTGAAACGACTATCTAACGATAGCATTTAACGTTAGCATTTTTGGATTTTAATCTACACCATTAAATTTTTATCTAAAATGCTAATACGTACTAATCAAAAACGTTATTTCCAAACAAGATCTATATATACGAAGCCGTACGAAGTAAGACGAGATTAATACTAGCTTACTTATATCTACTAATGCTTCTTAAATACCCGGAGTAGTAAAAATAGACAGTGTGGTCCAAGACATTTATGCTTTGTTTGGATTTGAAAGGAAAATAAGAGGAAAGAAAATGAAATGAAAGGAAAGAAATTGGAGAGAAAATAAAAAGAAAATAATTATTGTTTGGATAGATAAAAGAGAATAGAAAAGGTGTACTTCGTAAATTAGAAAAGAGGCAAAGGACAAACATGTCATTTCATGCATTTTCTCTCCATGTATGAGTTTTCTCTTCAAAAGTGTAGAGAAAACTTTTTAAGCCTTTTTTCCACTCTTTTTCTTTCTTTTTCCCATTTTCTATTGCAAACAAACAAGAGAAAAGATCTAGAAACTTGTGTTTTCCTCCCTCCACTTTTCTTTTCTTCCAAAATCCCCCATCCAAACACATGCTTAATTCTTCCACACGTTGCTATGATTTGGGTGGGCTAGACAAATTATGAGTCCTAAATTTTGAACATCAAATTTAATTTTAGAATAGTGCTATACCTCCTAGGATCCTACCACAGCATTCATCCAATTATAACGTTTCTAAATTGATAAATTTTAGTCACAAATTAAATAAATTTGATATTAGAAATTGGTACAAAATAATTTTATTAGATTTATTTTATAAAAGCATTATTTAATTTCATTAACATATCACAAGAATTTTATTTAATTAGAAGTGAAAAGTTGTTCCTTTTTTACTACGTAGTACAAAAATCTGAATTGGTTAAATTACCTAAAATGAAGGGAGTATGAATTAGGTATATGTAACTATGAAAGTCAAACGGTCAAAGCCCATAATCCAAATTTATCGTCCTATTCTTTTTTTTGAAATATACTCCGTACTTTTTATTTTTATGTTTTTATCTTTTTTTGTTATTATATTGATTATTAATTATTATTATTATTACGTTCAAAAATTCTAATTTTTTTAGATAAATTCTTTCGTGTTTCTAATGTGTACATTCATTCCATAGACTTTAATATATAAGCACCATTGATAAATTTGGTTATTTGAAAAAAAAATGAAAGATCTTCATATCGGTTCAAGTGTAAGAATTTCCACATTTCACATGTGGACCTTAGATTATGGAAGCACAACTCCATTTTTAACTTTCTTTGTTGTAAAAGAAATACGGTAGTTCGCAAGAAACTTCATACTCCCTCCGTCCTATAATGTTCTTCCCGGTTCATTTTACGAGGTTCGATCGATTTTATTTTCAATTCAATTTATTTTATTGTAGGTGTAAAATTAAAAAATAAAATTTATATATTTAAAAACTACATCAAAAGTTCTACAAAATAAATGGTGGCAAGACTATATTATTTTATCAAATACCTAATGAAAATAGGTAAAAAAAAGTGATTAAAGTTTGACCGGGTAAAAAGTGAGTGGGAAGAACATTTTAGGACGAAGGGAGTATCTTTTTGTAATTTTTTTTATTTCTTTATTTTTCTTTCCATTTTTCTTTCCATTTATATTTGAGTATTTATTTGACGACTAAATTAGTAAAGCTATTTTACTCTTGGAAATTTAATATCCATTCAATCCATGTATTATTACTCCTATAGAGATGGTTCATTGACCCGGTTTCAAAATCTTGCTGGCATAGAGGTCATAAATTTGAATCTCATCATCATCCACTTAAAAAAAATTGTAATTGCATGCAAGGATCGAGCAAATGCAATAGTATAAAAGCATTTCTGGACCTACATTAATTAACAAGCTAAGTTTGATTTTTTAACAAAAAAAAGCTTGCTAAATCAAAATAAGAAAAAATGCTCTCTTAAGATAGATGGTGTATTTAAAAAAGGTTAAGGGGCTGTTTGGCACCTTCTGAATAGGTAAGTGCTGAACCAGTAAGAGGTCTGAATCATTAAGTGCTGAACCAGTAAGAGGTCTGAACCATTAAGAGCTAGTATATTGCTTAACTATTCAGAGGCTAATGTATGATCAATTCAGATAAAAGGTCTTAACCATTCAGACTATGTATAATACTTAATCATTCAGAGGCAAATTTCTGAACCATTCAGACATCTAAATCATTAAGAGGCTGAAACAAACAGTCTGAATCATTAAGTTCTGAACCATTCACATATCTAAATCATTAAGAAGCTGAAACAAACAACCTCTAAGTGTCTGATTTGAATTTGTTTAGATACGGAGTAGGAAACAAATCATATTCGGAGTATAAATACGGAGTAAGAAGTAATGAAAATTAAGTGAAAAATAATTGTTGTAGGGAATAGAAAATACTTTGAAACATAAAAAATTAAAGATGTAAGAAACTGTTTTTTTTTGTTTAAAAGTACTCCGTACTACGTAAGAAACTATACTATGATGTGAAATGATTAAAGGTAAAAATTGAGTGAGAAAACTTTGTATGCAACACGTGAAAAGGGGTTTTTACTTTGTATGCAACACGTGAAAAAGGGTTTTTACTACTATACACTTTAGTTTGGGGATTGTAAATCGAGCAAGAGTATTCTAGTATTTTGTTTTCTTCCATATTTTAAGGCAAATTTTATGGTGGACTTAGGTCCATCATGGACCTATATTTGAGTAAAATAAATATTTTTATATATAAATAAGCATTTATTTTTTAAATAAAAAAAGTTATATGAGAAGATCCACAAAAATAATATGCATCCAAGGTGTATCAAAGAAGCACTCTATTTTTAATACTTTAACATACTCTGCATTTTTTAAAAATTTTTGTAACTTATATTGTTTGTCTTTTTAGCTTACTAGTTTTTCTATAACGTATTGCAATTTATTAATTTTCAAAATATAAAAATTATAAAGATAAGTACTATACTATGAGAATTGGATACTCCGGATTCCTCCATCTCGAAATAGATACCACTATTACTATTACGACCTCTCGGTAACTTTTGTTTTTACTTTTCATTAATAATTTGATAAAATAAAATATCATTGTCATCTATTGTTTTATAAAAAAAATTTATGTACTTTTAAATGATGTAATTTATATTTTTTATTTTTATATTAATTTATAATTAAAATGATTTTAAAAATGATAGAATTTTACACATTATATTGTTCGGAGTATAATATCTAATAAATTTGACAATTACTGCCTTTTGAGTTTGAGTTTAAGCTAATGGTGGAAGATGATCTTAGGCTTCTTAGCTATGTACAATTGGTTGGTGCATGGGTTAGTTTCACACTAACTCCCCCCATTTAATATCAACGGTCTTAATTATTAATTACTAGGGGAAGGTCTAGCTACACACCATTCCTAGAGTCTAATGTTGCGCAATTCAATTCGGTTGTTGTTGATTTACTTCCTCTGTTCTGATTTATATTGTCTGTTTTGGTTTACGATATTTGATTGAAATTATTTTTAGATTATTTTATATGAAAAATGGTGTAGAATTTAAAAAATTAAAATTATATATCACAAT